AACATCTTGGCTACATCGCCTGTGGGGTAATTATTTCCCAATCTTATCAACCATATATAACTGAAACTAGGTAAGATCTTTGCTCTAAAAGTAATATAAGGAATGCATCATTTCAGTGATCTAATAAGCATTAGGCATGAGGAATGACAGAAGGGAAATAATGTTAACTGCCACAAATTCTGCATTTACAAAAATCATGCCAGAAAGCACAGGCGAGTTATTTGTCTAAAACATGTCTTTAGCCACGTCTCTCACCTTTACCTAATACACAGGAGGAGTGCATGCTTCTGGATGTCCCCAGCTCTCCAGCTTCCTTTGAAACTACTCACTTCAATTAATGGCATTAAGATGTAGGTGTTGTTGGCTTCCAATCCTGGTCAAGAGACTTTCCCTGTCCATTTAAGAGTGAGACTAAAAGGATTATTGCTTCACACACACATATGCACGCACATACACACACACACAATTTTAAATGACTAAAAGTGTTTATATTTAATTGGTATATTTACATTCTGGCCCCAATATTTAATGAAGTAACACTGAATATTATTTAATACTGTATAACTCAGATTCCTCACAAAAACAAAACAAAAACATACAGTTCATGTAGCATAGATTCATTTGGTAGTTTAAGTATAACAAACCAAGTTGAAGTTAACTCAGTCCCCCCAAAATACTGATTTGAATTGCTATAAGAATGTTTGTTTTACCAAAATATGATCAGTGTAACTCTGACATCATTATTCTAAGCACTAATAAAAATAGGCAGATTCTTCATTCTATACCTGCTGCTTACAAAAATTACACAAAATTAAAATGCAAAAATATTTATGATGTAAAAATAGTGCAAATCTTCATTTGTGGATGGTATTAGAAAAATTCTAGACCAAATTTTGCAATCAAATCCTGACAACATAACTTGTTTTAACATTTCAGTTCATAGAAAGACTACTAATAAGAGGTTAATATAAATATTAAAACTTAATGAGATTAAAAAGAAAATACTCAGGGAACTTTCCAGAACTGAGAGATTTTGCAATTTCATTTGGGTGTATTCATTATTGAGCACCTTCTACCTGACAGGTGCTGTAGAGTGACTGGTGAACAGGAGTGTTCCTGACACAGCCTAGAGGAGGAGATACAAAACAACTAAACCAGCTAATAAATGGGCAAAGGAACTGAACAGACACTTTACAGAAGAAGAAATATGAATGGTCAACAAATATATGAAAAAGTGTTCAACACATCAAGCAATTATAGAAAGACAAATTAAAACTACACTGAGTATTTATCTCACTCCAGTCAGAATGGCAGCAATCAAGAATACATTGGCAAGGATTTGGGGAAAAGGGTACACTCATACATTGCTGGTGGGACTGCAAATTGGTGCAACCAATGGCATGGAAATTCCTCAGAAAACTTGGAATGGAGCTACCATTTGACATAGTTATCCCATTCCTCTGTATATGCCCAAAGGACTTAAAAATCAGCATTCTACAGTGATGCAACCATATCAATGTTAATAACAGCTCAATTCACAATATCTAAGCTTTGGAACCAACCTAGGTGCCCTTCAACAGATGAATGTATAGATAAAATGTTGTACATATATGTAATATTACTGAAATATTACTTAGCCATAAGAAAGAATTATTTTATGACAATTGAAAATGGATGGATCTAGGGACTTATCATGCTAAGTAAAATAAACAACAACAACAACAACAAAAAACAACCCAAAGGTTAAATGTTTGCTCTGATATGGGGATGCTAACACACAACAAGGGCGGGTGGAGAAGAAAAGTTCGGTAGATTGGACAAAGGGGAATGGAAGGAAGGAAGCAGGAAGCAGGGCTAAGAGGTAGGAAAGACAGTGGAATGATTCTGACACAACTTTCCTGTGTACATATATGAATCCACTACAGTGAATCTCTATATCATGTACAACCACAAGACTGGGATCCTAAATAGAATAAGATGTACTCCATGTTTGTATAATAAATATGTCAAATTATAATCTACTGACATGTATAACTAAAAAGAACAAATTAAAAAAAAGAAGTGCAGTGTGGGCAAGTAGGACTTTATCTCAGGGAGTGTGTGGTAGGATTTGCTTCACCGAATGTTCCCTGGGTGAGGTGGGATGTGAGAAGAGCTTTAAAGACTGAGCAGGACTTGGCCAATGTGGAGGTTAGTGAGGAGGCACTCCAGAGAGAGCATGGACCAAAGGCAGACCTCAAGCTTGTTTAGACCAAACCGAGGAAAACTTGCAGTAAAAAGGTATAAGACAAGACATCTAGGCTTAAATTTTATTTAAGACACATTATCTCACTAAAAAAAAAAAACTTACATCAAATGGTTTAAAATCAAAACTTTTTGAATAATTTAGAAAAATTTTTTGTAAAATAGAACTTATGATATCAAAGAATATATATGAAAGTAGAATCGGATTCCTGATCTTTTTATAAGGCTATCCACCAGACAGTGTTACTTTGCTTTGGGAAAACTGTCAGCTCAAGGGTAGTATGTGCTTTGATATTGAATGAAGAACACAACAAAATTATAATAATTTTGTTTTTAAAAAAATTCTTCATTGAACCCTCAAAAGATGAAAGATGAAAATATAAGTATAATGTGTTTATAAAATGATTCTTTTAAAAGATATTAATAATGTTTATTTTCTTGTTACATGTTATATGTTGTTAGCTGTCTTTTATCTTGTTGTATTATTAGGTTCTATCACTCTCCAAAATCACAGCTTCATATTAGTAAAAAAGATACAAACATCTTAAAAGAACTCTTAGAAATGATCAAATACATTCTTTTGCTTTGCTCTTGACATACCTAACTAGGGATTCGATTTGTGACTTTTTGTTCAACAGTCTTTGAAGTCAAGTTAATTCGTATATTCATGAAGTATAGGGAAGAATTTAAGCAAATCAAGAAAATGTTAAATAGGAATGAACATTTTTAATGGATTGGAAACAAAACAGAGAATAATATATATTCAGTCTTTGTCTCTCCAAATAGTCTATAAACGCTATACGAGCAGGAACATGTCACAGTGCAGTATCAAGTGCCCCATGCACTGCCTAGAATGTGTTCTGTGAAATACATGTTGAAAAGTGTTAATGAAGAAATTAATAAATGAATAGAGTGCATGAAAATGGTTTGTAGGTATGTAAGTAGAAATGAACACTCAAGATATTCATATTAAAACTTCTATCTGGGATATCTTTTGGGGGGAAGGCAGCTTAAATTGATTAAATGCCATAGATGGCATTGGAGTTTATGACTATTTTTTCCTGGGCCTTCACTAAAATCACAGTTTCCAAAGACAAGGTTAAGTCAGCTATGATGGGAGGATGAACATGAGTGTATGCAAAAAAAAAAATAAATAAATAAAGCTGAACTCAATCAAGCACTGTGGTGCTACCAGAGGTACAATAATAGGGAAGCATAGCTGACCACTGCTAGGTTCATTACTTTGTGGATAGAACATCCTGGGAATTTCACTCTGCTTAATATGGGCAGGATAATGTCAACACTGAACACACATATAATAAGGGAACTTTTAAAGAATCATTTTAATCCCTAAGCCCCCTTTTCCAATGAAAACGAAAGGAAGAACATCCTAATAGTTAATAATAGATCTTGAAGAAGATTTGGATAAATTCTGGGGCCCCATCAACATAGTATCTTCAGCTATCAACCGTTAATGACTTTTCACTTTCACATTTAGTCCTTTCAAAATCTTTAACCGCGTGACATTTCATCAGTTTGTCTTACAATGCCGTATTAAAGTTATTCAGTTCCTTTAGAATATTAAGTCCTTGAGTCCTAAACACAAGAGTCTAAGAAAAGACTGTCGGCAGGGACCCAAATTAACATTTCTGATTTGCCAGTCAAGAAGCAATGGACACAAAAGAATCTGCTGCCTTCATTGTTCAGGGAATATTCATTTCAACTGTTTTCAGGCTCCCATCACAGCTGGATTAGCTCAAAGAGTCAAAGAACTATAAGAAGAACTCAAGGAAGCAAATTAAGTTTTCCTGATCCTCAAGTATTTAGTGAGGAGTAATAGACAAAGCAGGCAGGAATTACATTAAATAATCAAGTCCAAGTTCAAAAGCAATTGAGCACATTTTTAAACAGGAGTCTCTTTCCTTTCTTTCTCTCTTTTCATCTTACACAGTATTTTTTTCTGGCTATTGTTTTGAAACAGATATTACTGTCATTCAAGAATGAATAAAGACTCAATATTTTTTGAAGATAAAAATAAATAGTTTTTGAGAATTCACACACAAATTGTGGCGGAAACATAAAGCAATAATGCTGGGTGGAAAATGTAACAGGTTTGAGGTTCCTTGGTTAAATATTTCAAATTTATGTAAATTTCATGAGAAAATTTGTAATATTTCTACAGGTCTTTAACTTCTTATTCCTGACAAATCAATCAACTAAGAAATGACAGATGTTTAATCTAATGTTGGATTAAAGGCTTTTCCTTGAATAACTTCTAATAATGTATTTTATTAATGTTTCAAAATTTTCTAGAGTCTTCCCACAATCTACACATCTTACAGATCCCATGGACCTGAGAGGAAAAAATTTCAAGTAGATCCATATATTTGAAATACTATGAATATTAAGTCCATTAAGTGAGAAAACTCAAAGAGATGTATATGTGACCCTGTAAAATTATAAGTGGTCCAACGAGAACTCCCGCAATCTGGAGATTCTGAAATTCATTAGCTTCTCATTTTATTACAAGTAAGTGTGTATATTTTAACACAGATGCCCCAAATCATTACCGTTTATCAAACCACTTATTACCACCCTTCAATGTGAAGATAATTATTAGTCCAGCAAACAGTAGATGTCATCCACTTACAGGTGAATAGAAAAAAATAATATAATACTCAAAACTAAATCATGAATAGCAGTTTGCTTCAGTGGGAATAGACTCTATGGCACTTTGATAGAGTGGCAACACTCACCTCTTTCTGACGGTACTTAATGGCCAATTTTAGTCTTGCAAGATCATTTCCACTTTGTTCTTCAATCAGACTATTGTCATCTCGGTAATTAAGAATGATTTCCAGTTCTCTGGAACTTCTTGTCTGATCCAAGAGGTCCTTAGCAAATTGCTTGCACTGTCTTGACAGCTCCTCATACTCAGACTTGAATTCATTTTCCACCTTACTCAGTTCCTGAAGCTCCCAGCTTAACTGAAAGGCTGTGAGGAAAGGATCTTCGCTTGACAGTGCAATAAGAGAGGGGCTGGCCAAGGCCTTGTAGATGTTGAGTCTGGAACGTGAGTGACGGAGGCTGTCCACGTCTGAACTGGAGACACATTCAACACAGTTACAGCGGACCTCATGGGGTCGGGGCACTGAAACACCTTTCTGGACCAAAAGTTTTATTATCTCATAATTATTTGTATGGGCTGCCAAAATGATGGGTGTAATGTCCGGAGTGAATTCAGAGAACTGCTTATCAAGAAGTATGGGAGGCACCTGGAAAAAGAAGGAAACAGAAATATTGAATATTTATTCATTTGTTCAAGCTTGTGAATTTCAAACAGCATACAGGAACAAGGTTGAACAAGGCTCATAAATCTTCTGCTGAGTTTTTGCAGGAGAGATATGTCTTTTTTTTCCCTCCCCCCCAAAAAAAAAAAGACAAGAAAGAAGTAGAAGAAAAAATAACTTTCAAATATAAGGGCACATCATTTTTTTCATTCTTTCTATAATGTGAATTCTGACCTTTCTTGAAAGCTTAATGTTGGTGTCTATGGAAACTTTTTACTTGATGGAAGACTTTCTTACTCCCAACTTATTTGCTTTGCTTTGCTTTTCTGGAGAGGTTAATTTCTTAAATAATCAAGAAATATCCGGAAAAAAACAAATAGTGTAAAACAAGATGCTCCTCTTGTAATTTCTCAGTTCAATTTTCTTCATTCATTTGATTTTTTTTTTTTTACTGTCTTCACCTCTGCTGGTGATTAAGGGTGGCTGGGCAGAAATAAATAGACTAGCCTCAGGCTGTGTCTTTACATCTTTCTCTTTGGGGCATGATTTCCAGATGAGAAATCTCCATTGATAACATTATTGTTTCATTGGTTATGAACAAACAAAGAATTTGGTCATCATTGTGAATTCTTGGTGTGGGCCAGCCCTGGGCTGTGTGTGAGGTATGAGCATTTGAGCATATGGGAGGACTGGCCTGATGTTGCATGCTCTTTGGGCGTGCAACACAAGTGGGCACTTTCCTCTTGCTCTGCCTTTGATCCCACACAGTACCTGAGATGGGTGTGACTTGCCAAAATGTCAATCAATCTACTGACCATAAGACATCAGGAAGCTAGACTCAACCCCCTGAAACCTGACCCTTTGCCTTATTTTTAAAGAACATTCCATCAAACCTCCCTTTGTGCCCCTTCTATAAAAATAAAAAATCCAGATGCAAGCTCTCTCTTTCCAATGGACCCCTAAGGTTGAGAGCTGTCCTGGAATTTGAAAAGGTATTTCTATGTGCTTATGTGCTTTCTTCGCAGTTTTCTCAGTTATTGATGTAGCCAGATTTTGTGAACCCAGCATAGGTCACTAGCCCAGCTAGCTGGAGATAAATTCTCACTGAATCAGGTCACTAAAATGTTTATGTATGGTTGCCCTTTGGTTATATTCTAAGGATGGAGATTATGAATATAATAACATCCATTGTTTACTAAGAATCTTTTGGGTACATTAACCCTCACCTTTCATTATTCATGTTTTATAGATAGTGTTCCTTGGTAAGTAAGTGAAGACATGTGATTTGAGCCCAGGTCCACCTGTCTGACAGGCAAAACTGTGTATATCGCACTGTATTCTTGCTGTAGTATTGTAGGTTTAATATTTATTATTGCTGGCACAGTTACAGAGTCTTCTATGAAAATAAAGGCTACATAAAGACAAATTCAGTGCGGCAGAAACAACAAAGGCATGTGTCACATTAAAACATATGAAATGTGAAGAAGAGCACAGAGAGATTAACAGAACAACAACCATGCCCAGAAAAATGACATTCATAAGGAAGCTTCTATTACGCCACCTTCAAGTAGAGGGGAAATTTTTACATGTGATTAAAAATATGTTTTTAATTCACCTCACTATTTAAAATATCCATTTGTTTTCTAAGAAACACTACATAAAGATTGAAGGGATGAAGTAATCTTTTAAAAGTTATTTTAAGATATATGTAATTAATTGACAGTGATGATAGTAAAAACCACTATTTTAAAAATGTTTATTAGTAGAGGAATGAGAATGCCTGTTGAGATAGAATTTTGCATTTATGTGTGGGATCAGTACATACTTACGCCTTATTAAGTATTTATCGTTCATTTTAAAGATAATATGAATTGAAATTTAATTATGCATTCATTATAAAGAGAAAGATTACATTAATCAAAATCAAACTACAGGTAATTTTCAATTAAATAAACATTATGTATTTTTTGTAGTAGACATTTAGGAAAAACAAAACAATTTCAGTGAGTTTCTATGATAGACACATATTTAAATGACAGATATAATTAGAAGGAGTATTCAAGATTCAGTATAATTTCATTCTAGGTTTGTATTTTTTTATGCTGTCAACAATTTGAAATTTATTAACCATGAAATTCAGCTTTGCAGTATATTGCAGGAAATTTTATGGAGAAAATAAGCATGATATGACCATCTTGAAAAATGCATTTTTCAGAAATGTGTCAGTGTCATAGTATTAGAGACACAGCGACATAATGGTTTAAATATATGAGAATATTCAAGAATTTTGTTTGTGAGTTTTAATACTCCATAAATCATGGTGAGTTTAATTTTTTTGAAAGATGTGACTACCTTGAATTGTATCTTTCATATGGAACTTCAATTTTGAAGATAATTTTTGAATGGCATTATTTTATAGGTCCATAGCATAAATATAATTTATTGGCCCATAGGTGATTATTTTTTATGTTATATAATTTTAATTATTTTAGAAATGTGGTCTAAATTCAACATTATACGTTGTCTTTAGCACTAATTAACCAGAACTCGGCAGGACAGAGATGACAGGACACTGGGAACAGTTAGCTTTATCTTTACTCCACCTGAGGCTCTGCTGGGACTGTGGTGCAGATGAGTAGGCAAACATTAGTGTTTATCTAGGTCCCAGAAGATAGGCTTGGTTCCTCTCCATTCCATTAAGACAGTAATAATAGTATAAAAGCACTCAGTGTCCTTACCAAGCCACCCCTTCTGCAATCCTCACTGCTATGTTTTACCTGTGGTTTGTCCCTCAAAGGGTCATGTGTTGGAGCCTTAATCAGGCTGTCTTGAGAGGTTGTGGGACCTGTAGGAGTTAGGGCTTAGTGGAAGGTGATTAGGTCACTAGTGCACAACATTCTCGAGTGAAATTAATGTTTCTCTCAAAAGACGAGGTTAGTTTTCTTGAAACTAGACTAGGTCTCATGAGAGTGAGCTATGCCTTGCAGGGTTGAACTGGTATCATGAAATTGGGTTGTTAGAAAGCAAGTCAACGTCCCCTCTGCCTCACTCATATGTGCCCTTTCTGAATGGGGCTATTTCCCCTTCCACTTCTACCCCATGAGTTGATGCAGCCTGATGCACTCCAGAGTAGATGCTAGAACCATAATTTTAAACTTCTCTCACCCAGAACTGTGAGCCAAATATATCTTTTTTTTTTTACACATATCCATCCTCAGGTATTTTGTTATAGCAACACAAAATGTACCTTCCATTCTTCTGCATATAAAATGTGCCTTTTCTCCTTTTTATTACTGAATTTTGATTCATTCTTTAATTTAGAAAACATATTGATTCATTGCTTTAATTATTAATTTTATATTTGTTATTATTAATTTTATATTTGTTATTAAATATATACATTCAGGAAAATGCATAAATATTAACATATGAATAATACAATTTTTAATGTTACTTTATCTAGCATATTTTGAAGGATAAATTAAATATTGGAATAGTTATAAACAGGAAAAGAAGCCTGGTAACTATTATATTTTGAACAAGAATTAAAACAATGGAAAAGAAAAAGCTGTGATTGCCCTCTGATTAACCCTGTAGACATGAGGTTTTGAGTTCAATCTTGAGCACTATAAAAAAGGGGGGGTTCACAGTGTGATGATTCATTACATTCATACAATAGGTATGTATGATATAATAATGGCTAAAAAGGGTAGTCAGCATTTACATCTCCTTAAATCTTTTTTTTTTTCTTTTGGTACTGGGGATGGAACCCAGGGGTGCTGAACTACTGAACCACTTCTCCAAAATTTTCTATTTTTTATTTTGAGACAAGGTCTCCCTGAATTGCTTACAGCCTTGCTAAATTCCTGAGGCAGACCTTGAATTTAATGATCCTCAGGTTTCCAAGCCTCTGGGATTACAGGAGGGTACCACCATGCCCAGCCCATATCCTTAAAGCTTTTAAAAGTCTTATTAACAGGTGATAATTGTATATATTTATGTGATACAGTTTACTGACATTGGCACTTTTTACTGACATTCTGCTGAAGGTTTTACTGCCCTCTTAAACTACCTTCAGCCAGGGTAATGGGCAGTATTGAAGGAATAGAGCTGACAGCAAAACACAGTGACTCAGAGACAACTGCAGTGGAGACATTTATAAGAAGGTTATCTACTTTCCTACATACTAAAAACTCAGTAATTTAAAGATGTCTTAAAGCATAAGGTATTTAATCTCAAAATCATTTGGGAAACCTGGAAAACTGCTTTTTGCCCTTTTCTCATGCTTCATTTTCAATCGGGTCTACTCTCCCTCATTCCCTGTCCTGTGCTTTGTTTAGCATCTTCAATATGAAACTCTCTTTCCTTTTGTTTCTCTATTGCTACACATTAAGAGAATTTTTATAACATTTAAAATACATAAGTCATGGTTGGTGATCAGTAATTATTACCAAAAAATTGTTTTAATAAAAACACATCTTTTTTTTAATTTTCAAAATTTCAAATTTTCCATTTGGCTTAATGAAGGACAGATGCAATTATCAGGAGCATAGCTTTGCAGGTGAAAATCACATTATGCTTGACTTATTTTAGCTAAAATAGAATCTATAGATATAGAAGAATTATACCCAGGCAAACACACATGTATAAAAATACATACATTACCAATAAACAAACAATACATCTCAACAATTTTTTACAAATTCTAGTTATTAAATTACATATTCCATCCAGTTATCTTATTTTAAAAAGAATCCTGAAATCCGATACTTGCCTCTGTTTTTATTGAATTAGCATTTGTTTAACATTTCTAAACTTTGCCATATTATTAGTTATATTACTACCTGAATCATTGTAATGTCAGATAGTATTAAAATTATTGACATACATGAGGAATATATTAACTCATGAACAAAAATATAGTAGTTTTTTTGGTTACAATATACATGTTTGAACTATTCAAACTGAAGAATAAAATTTTAGAA